GGTGCGATGCTGAGGGGTGAAATGAATGGAATTCACTCACAGCCCCTGAAAGTTTTGTTCTTTTCTTTTCTTTTCTTTTCTTTTCTTTTCTTTTCTTTTCTTTTCTTTTCTTTTCTTTTCTTTTCTTTTCTTTTCTTTTCTTTTCTTTTCTTTTCTTTTCTTTTTCTTTCTCTTTTCTTTTTCCCTTCCCTTCCCTTCTTTTCCTCCTAGCTTTTCAGGCAGCCGGGAGTTACTTTCCGCGTCGTTGTCGCTAAGGTTTACGTATTTTCAGCGCACCGCAAAGTTTCCATCGGTGAAATCCCCGCACTCCCCCGCAGCCGCTCAGCTCTGGGGACGCCGGGACCCGCCCGGAGCTGCAGCACAGCCCGGCCATGGGCGGCCCCGCCGCCACTCCCCGCGGTGTCCCCGCGATGTCCCTATGCCGGTACCGGCACGGGGCACCCGCAGCCCCGAGGAAACCATGCCGAGACTCAAAGCCGCTCGGAAAACGATTGTTGGTTGCTTTAGTTTTTGTTTGTTGTTTCTTTTTTTTCTTTCCCCCAGCGGTATTGCAGCGTTTTCTGATTGTCTGAAGATTTTCTTTTTTGTCTTTTTTCTTTTTCCTTTCTTTTTCCTTTCTTTTTCCTTTTCTTTTCTTTTCTTTTCTTTTCTTTTCTTTTCTTTTCTTTTCTTTTCTTTTCTTTTCTTTTCTTTTCTTTTCTTTTCTTTTGGTTAATTGCTTTTGAGCTCCTGCTGAAAGGTATCCGTCACTTTTCTTTGCCCGTCAAACAACTCTCCGTGCGCCGGGGCAAATCGGAGTCTCGGGACACGCAGCGCGCTCAGCATTTGCGTTCGGTATTTTTAACGACGGCACTGAAAATCGCCGCATTTAATCGTGCCAAAATGGGAAGATAACGCGGTCATCGATCACCTCAGCTCACACCAAACCTACGCCAAGTTTGGGCGGGAGGCGAAACGCGCAGCGCCCGGGGAGGGAAGGAGGCACGAAATGAGGGACGTGGGACATCTGCGAGGAGAAGCGCGTCAGAAAACGGACGGACAGAGAGGTGCCGTGGAGGGGACGAAGAGGGCAATGGGGCTGGAGAGGGGGAAAGCTGTGACACCGGGGTTTGGTTCGCGTCGTCAGGGAGAGCTCGGAGCTGGGGAACGAAAAGGGGAAAGGGAGCGGGCGGCCGGGGTTGTATGGACGGCTCCGGAACATCGGCTCGGGGACGGAGCAAAAGGGAGGAAAAGGGAAGAAATGGGGGAAAAGGAAAGAAAGAAAGAGGAGGGAAGGAAGGGAGAAAGAAATACTAAGAAAGAAGGAAAGAGAGAAATAAAAAGAAAGACAGAAAGAAAGAAAAAGAAGGAAAGAAAGAAAAAGAAGGAAAAGGCAAAACGCTGGGAAAGCGCTACCCCAGCGCAAGTTATTGAGATTTTTCGCTAAAGGCTGTCACAAATTGCAGAATATATATATGCACATATATATATAACCTCCCTCAGCCGCTCGTGACGAACACGTTTCCAAGCCTCCGCCGCTAACGTACACAGAACCAAGGCTACGGCTGACACTTCCCAGCTACATAGGAAAAAAAACGAAAACAAAAACAAAAACCCAACCTCGACTCAATTCCGAACAACGACTTTGCCCTAGGACAGCCCCCGCCGCTCAGCTCTCCCCGCCCCGGGCCCTTCCCGCGGCCCCCACAGCGCTCATAGGGCCGCACCGCCCCGCGCCCCTCCCGCCCCGCAACGGTTCGCTTTGCGATGCGAAGGCTGGGAGCGACCCTGCGGGGATCCCGAGCGGCGCTCGGCCCGGCCCTAACAACAACCTGCTCGCCTACAAGCGACGGGGGCTGAAATAATAATTACGGAATGACGCCGCTCGAGACGCACAAAAAGTTTCCAGACCGAAAGAAAAAAAAAATGTGTATGTATATATATATATATATATGTAATGTAAAAAAAAGCCCCACGCTCTCGGTAGAAGCGCCTCTTCGCTTCGACGCGCGGACCGCATCCATCCCTCTTTCCCAACACGTCTCTTTTTGAGCCCATCCCGTCACTTTAACCGTGCGGGGCCGGAGGGGTCGGAGCGGCGCCGGATCCCCCCGGGGCAGCGGTGGAGAGCAGTGGGGCGCGGGGCGGGGCGGGGCGGCGGCGGCGAGCCGGAGCCCTTCCTCGGGCCGAGCTCGTCTTTTCTTTTCTTTTTTTTTTTCTCTTTTCTTTTCTTTTCTTTTCTTTTCTTTTCTTTTCTTTTCTTTTCTTTTCTTTTCTTTTCTTTTCTTTTCTTTTCTTTTCTTTTCTTTTCCTTTCTTTTCCTTTCTTTTCCTTTTTTTCTCTTTTCCTCCTCTCCTCTCCTCTCCTCTCCTCTCCTCTCCTCTCCTCTCCTCTCCTCTCCTCTCCTCTCCTCTCCTCTCCTCTCCTCTCCTCTCCTCTCCTCTCCTCTCCTCTCCTCTCCTCTCCTCTCCTCTCCCCTCCTCTCCTCCTCTCCTTCCCCACCCCCCCCCCGGTCATCTCTGCGTTTCCCGACGTTACACCGCGATTTTTCCATCACATCAAAGGGAAGTTTTTATTTTATTTTATTTTATTTTTAAATATATAATTTTTTAAAGCGCTTTGAAAATCGTACAGGCGTTGACGTTCCGCTCCGTTTAGCAGTCCCCGAGCCCGGCCGCCAAGCGCGCTCCGGGAAAACGGCACTGGGACAGCGGAGCATCGCCCCCAAATGCCAACAGCCACCGTCGTCAGAGCCCCCTCTGCTTTAGGAGGAGCTGGGGAAGCTGCTGGTGACCAGCATCAGAGAGAGGGCTGGGAAAAGTTTTGTTTTTATAAAAATGGGGAAGGAAATGGGATTTGATCTCTCCATCCCCATCGGCGCGTCCCGATACGGACGGAAAGTTTGCAAAGAGAGGACGAGAAGTAAAAGCTTCCCCCCCTCCTCTCCCCCCCCCCCCCACCCCCCCCCCCCCCAGTCCCATGGGCACTGGAAGGCAGAGGAGCGAGGGAGGCTGAAGGCTTCTTCCCAAAAGAGGGAGTCCTGAGGTCATTTCAGCCTTTTCGTCAGCGTGGATGGAAAGGAAAGCTCAGCGGCAGGGAGCTGCCCCGAGGTGCCCGGCCATGCGCCCGCTGTGCCAAGCCGGGACCGGCCGTGAGGCCCGAGGGTGGCAGCCCCGCTGTGCGACCGCTGCCGCTTCTGGGTCACAGAGCGGGCGGAACAGCGAGAAGCGGGAGGGAGGTCGGGGAAGGAGGGGGGAGGGTCAGATCAGCTCCTTGATCTGTCCCAGAGGAAAGCAGCCCGCGGCCCGTGCTGACTTTTGCCTACGAGGCATCTTGTGGGCAGGGAGCGGTCGGTGTGCCTTCGGGAAGAGACGTGCGGCTCTGAGAACGTCGGAGGGAGAGGTGGAGGGGGGGGGGAAAGAAAGAAAGAGGAAAGAGAAAAGAAAGGAGAAGGAGAGAGAGAGAGAAAAAAGAGAGAAAGAGAGAGAAAGAGAGAGAGAGAGAAAGAGAGAGAAAAGAGAGAAAGAGAGAAAGAGAGAGAGAGAGAGAGAGAGAGAAAGAAAGAAAGAAAGAAAGAAAGAAAGAAAGAAAGAAAGAAAGAAAGAAAGAAAGAAAGAAAGAAAGAAAGAAAGAAAGAAAGAAAGAAAGAAAGAAAGAAAGAAAGAAAGAAAGAAAGAAAGAAAAGAAAGAAAGAAAAGAAAGAAAGAGAGAAAATGAAAAAAAGAAATTTTTTAAAAAAGCACCCTGCACGTATCTGAGCCCTTCCCCTCACGGCTCGCTCCTCGCTCGCTGCAGCACCCTTCTCACCAAAACCGACGCCAATGGATGCATTCCCGGTTCCCCACGCTCCCTTTCCCCAACACTTGCGAGGACAGAGCGCTGCCCGCCCGCCCTCAGCCCAGCCCCGAGCTCTCCCCGCAGGCTCTCCAGTCCCGGCCTCTCCCATCAGCCCCGTCCGGCCCCGGGGCAGCTCGGGGAGCTCATTTCGGGCTGCGGTTTTGACTTCCCGCACAAAAAAAAAACTCCGTCTTTTCAGTGAAACCGAGCACTGTCCGCCTTCGAACCGGGAGATATTCGTTCGTTTTATTTCTTTCCGCAACGACGAGGAAGGAGCGGGATCCGGAGGGCGCAGCCCGAGCTGGGAGCCACGGGAAGCCGCTTTCATTTCATTCCTCCGGAGCCGTCCGGGAGCGGCACCGCGCTCCGCTGCCCCATCGCCGTGGGCCGCGCGCGTTCCGCAGGGACTCTTCTCCCGAAAACCCCGCAGCGCGATGAAATCCACCGTCACTCGGGAGGGGAAATCCGCACGTCTCACGCGGGCGGCTCGGGGGGGAATCCCAGCTCCCGCCCTGCCCGGCCCGAGCCCGGTCGGCCTCGCCCCGCTGTCGGCGGGAGGGCAGCGCTTCGAGGCCGGGGGAGGACCGAAGCCTCCGCCCTCCCGGGGCACGTCGGCCTGCTGCCCCGCGACCGCGGAGCGCCAGGTCCCTCGGGGCCGGGCCGGGTCTGGCCGGTGCGCTGCGGGGAACGGAGGCCGGCACCGCTCGGGAACGCGTTCCCTCGCCCCGACCGCGGAGGAAGGCCGTCCTCTCGTGTTTGCAGTTTTCTTTGTTTACATTCACTCTAGAAAACATTGGCCCGTGGCCAGCAAAGTGCGCTCGCGTTTCTCGGTGGAAAGCCGAGAGCGATCCGGCCCTGGCGGCTCCGCGCTGCCCGTCCTCGCCTCATCCCGCCGGCCCCGGGGAGCAGCGCTTTGTCGGCCGGCTGCACCTGCGAAGGGCGCGGGCCGCTCCTCGCAGCTCGGTCTCCCCGGCCCCGGCCTCCCCGAGGCCGCAACAGGTTTCTCTGCGCGCACCGCCTCCCGCTGCGGGCTGCGGGGCGGCGCCGAGCCGTGCCGTGCCGCACCGCACCGAGCGGAGCCGCGCCGTGCCGCCCGCCCCGGCACACGGAGCCGCGGGGCGCGGCCCGGAGGGGGGGGCCGGCGGGTGCCCGAGGTCGCGCGTGTGCGCCGGGCCGTTCGCCGTGTCGTCCCCCCCGCCCCGTCCCCGTCCCCGCGGCCCGTCCCCCGGCGAGGAGCGAGTGCCGCCGCTCCGCCTTCTCCTTTTCGCAATGTTGACGCAATCTATAAATAGTGGAACAAAAGGAGCAACTTCCTCGCAGCTTTGCTGAAACTGCACAAAAAAGGCAACCGGGGGGGTGGGGGGCGTTATTTTGATTTGATTTTTTTTTGCCACCGCTTTCAAAAGCGAAGCCTCCTTCCCCCTCCCCCGCCGCTCTCTCGCTACTGGAAGATTACAGATCCGTGCGCGATTATTTTTTGATTCCTCGTTGTCTGCTGCGCTGGCACCGTCCTGCGAGCGGCGGAGCGGCTCGGCGCCGGGCTTCCCCCGCTGACAGTAAGTGCCGGGCGGGGAGGGCAGGGGGGAGGCGGGAGGCGCTCCCCGCCCGCCGCACCGCACCGCACCGCGGGTCGAACCCCTCTCCCCACGCGCGGCTCCGAGCCCCCATGCGCATCTCCCCCGCGCCTCGGGGGTGCTTTTATCGGCGCGGTGGGGGTGTTCACGCGTCTTCCCCTTTCTCTTCCTCCTCCTGCCGCGCTCAGTGGGAGGGTGGGGGGATGATGGTCACGATCACGCGTGTCCCAAACACCCCCCGCCCCCCCCAACCTCCCGCGGAGGGAGAATTACATCATCCTTTCTGTAGTGATGCTACCTTAGCGTGCGCGCACCCGACACCTCGGGAGCGCGCGTCCTCCCTTCTCGGAGGCGCGCGTTTCCCCCCACCCCGGCTCGGGCTCGGAGAAAGGCGCGCCCCCGCGCTCACACACACCCGCGCCGCCGAGTGTTTACAGTGCTGCCCCAGCCGTATTGTGACGTCTCCTGAGCGACAGTGCGTCTGGCCAATGGGACGCCGAGGCCCCGCCCACTCTCTCTCTCTCTCTCTCTCTCTCTCCTCCCTCTCTCTCTCTCTCTCTCTCTCCCCCCCTCCCTCCCCCGCTCTGTGCGCGGCTGTCACGCTCCGCGCGCGCCGGCGCGCGTCCGCGATTGGCGCGCCCCACGCTGGTGCTCCTAAGCTCGGGGTGCGGGAAAACAGCAAAAATGCTTTGTTGTTGTTGTTGGGTTTTTTTTTTTCTTTTTTCCTTTTTCCTTGTTCCTTTTTTTTCCTTTCTTCTTTTTTCCTTTCTTCTTTTTTCTTCTTTCTTTTTCTTTTAACACCGTGCAAAGATAACAGCGCCTACTTACACGCTGCAAAGCCCGTAGCAAAGATCAAAAAAAGTGTTTTTTCACACTTTTGAAACTTGTTGCGAGTTTAAGGCAGCAGTGCAAAATTCTCCCCCGAGCGGGCACCGGCTTAGTGCGGGATTTAGGCAACCGCCCGGCCCTGCTCGGCAGCGCACGGAGTTTTTAATGTGTTAATGGCTCGGGGTGGCTTCAAAGAGCGTTGCTGTTTTGAAGTCCAGGTGTTTCTATTTGTGCAGAAAATCGAGCGGGGAGCTCTGAGCTCCTACTGTTACTAAAGTTAAAAGGAAACAAAGTTGAGCTGCTAAGTCGGCAGTCTGGAATGAGTCAATAGTGTCTCCTTTGTCCTGCTAGGTTGTAGCTCCGCTCCGTTTCCTCCGCACTAGCGAGCGAGAGTTTCGCCCCTCGGCTGAATTCTCGGTACATTCTGTACGCATCTCCCCCTCGCTAAGCGTCCCGGCAGCGAGGCTCAGAGGGGTCGAAGCCTCTCCGTGCTGCGGCTGCGGCTCGGGGCAGCGGGACGGCGCCGTGCAGGGCCGTGGGCTGAGCCAGCCGCCGTGCCGCAGCGCTCCGGGCGCGGTCAGCAACGGGCCCTCGCGGGTTGGCACAGACGTCGCCCGCTCGCTTCTCCTTTCCCCGCGTCTGTTTTGCTTTTCGATCGCCTCAGTTGCGTACGCGGCTACGTTACGGCCGTCCCTTCTCACGCTTGAAAAAGGCTGTCCCTGCGGCCGTGCCCAATACTTCAATTCTTGAAATATATTTTAGCTCTTCGCTCGCGGCTCTTTCCAGAAACGCCGCCTCGCAGGTCCTGCTAGTCACACGCGGTTTTCCCCGGTGGCCGTGAAGGCCTCGGCCGCGAGTTCCTAAAGCTTTCGTTTCGAGTTCGCAACGCTTCCCTTCCGCCCCACCGCTAAGGCCGGCCCCGGGTCGGGAACGCGGCTGCGGGCAGCGCTGCCCCCTCCGGCCCCGCGGCAGCCCCCGCGTCCTGCTCTGCGCCGACGAGCAGCGCCGTGCGGAATTAACGAGGCTGCGAGTCCGGCCGCCGCTTTTGGGGAGCCCGCAGCCGGCCCGTCTGCGCTCCGAGGTGTCCCCTCCGGACGGCCGAAATATTGAACGGCGGAAAAACGCAGCGCTTGTTGGTGATGGGGAAGGTGAGGGCAGGAAAAAAAAGTTTTAAAAAATGGAGCCTGAGGCACAGAAGGAGCGGCACGGATCCAGCTGTCCTTTTATAGTAAGTGGTGTTTTACAGAAAGTGGGAAAGGAGAGAGAAGTGCCTCCCTTCCCGCAGCAGGACAGGGATGGTGCAGCCCTTCTCATCGCATTCCTGGAGGAATCTGCACGCAGCTCTCGGTTCTTCTCATTTCTGGAAACGAGAAGTGTCGTTCTCAGCAGTTCCTCCTCTTGAGCCCTACTGCCGGGTCTTGCCTGACCCTCCGCTGGTACTGACGGATCTCTGTAGAACAGTTTTCGAGCTTGGCATTCGTGCTTCATAAAAAGTCGTAAGAGATAGCTTTGATGAGTAATTTCTCGAAGTGCAGTTAACATTCTAAATACTATGTATGCGTAAATGTTGTTAGTTAACTGGGGCGTTGCTTTAGAACGTGTACAAAGGAGACACCCAGCACAGACCGAAAGCAAACTCTCAGCCCAGGTCAGAGCCACAAATATATCACATATAAAGGATGGGAGCACGGTAGGAAACCTGCAGTAGTTCATCAGGTGAGAAACAGGCACTCCAGACTGCACGAAGAATTAAAAAAGAGGTGTGCAGAAAAGCAGGCAGCATTAGCTGGCAGAAGAGGATATGAAAACAGCTGTACTTTTTCAGGGCTCTTCATATCCTTGTTTCTGGCTGAATGTGCTACGTGCATGAACATCCTTTCTTATAAAAGAATAAATTTCACAAAGATCCCACTGTATGGCAGTGTACTGATTGGCTGTCACAGCCCCTGGCTAAATATTAATGTTGGTCGCTTTTCCAAGTCAAATCTATGAGCTACTCTATCTGGAGAACTTGAAATCTCTACCCGCAAGTGAAACTCCAGTACAGTGCTTTTCTGACTTGCACGTTGTCTGTCCGTGTTTATAAAGATTTCCTTAGTAAATTACTTTTCGTTTGACAGCATTTTTTCTTCATGTGTTGCTTAGGGAAATATCAGGCAGTCTCTTTTGATCTGAGGCTTGGTTTGTTGAAGTTTTACAATGCTAAGCAGCGTGACAAACACACAGGACTAACCAGAAGGAGCTCCCCATCGGTGCAACCCCTTTGGTTTCATAACCTCTTGCAAACTTAGAGCCATGATTTACATAGCAGTGAGGGAAAATGAAAATGAGGAGGAAGCCCATTGTGCCATGTACGTGTATTTTCTCCTAACGCAGACTAAATTAAACCTGGCCTGTGCCACAAGAACACTGAAAGGTGAGAGCAAAGACGAGCAAAGGATCCTCCCTCGTAATGACACGCACAGTTAATGTTCTCTTCACCCAAGATAGTAAACCAGACCCAAAACGGGAAGGAGGATCTGGGCTATTCTTTCACCTCCCTCCCCACCCCCAGGCTCTGAGCCGTGGAGGAAGGATCGTGTTGCACTATTTTAAAGCTGGAGCAGCGTGTGCACCTCCTCGGTACAGTGAGAGCACTGGGAGCAAAGCTCTCAGGGCTCCCTGCTCCCAGGGCTGTGTCTTATCCACAGAGCCATGCTCCAATTCCCCTCCAAGTTCCCTTGCAAACGTACAATATTTGCAGGGATGTATACAAATAAGAAAGTTATTAAACTGACTTACCTTTGGCACGTGGCTTTGAAAGCTTCCTGCTCGAGGCAAGTCACAAAAGTCATGCTGTCACTGTAGCTCAGCACTGCAGGTAAAGTTGACCTGTAAATGAATGAAATAAAGAAATTGAGTGCCTTTGCCTAATTTCCTAAGCTTAAATGAACTGGATCGATTAGCAAATTGAAAAATATCATTGCTACGTCTTTCTCCCCACCACCTGAGTGCAGATGATTTGAAGTTATACCATACAGCTGATGTTAAATCTGTGCCAAGGTAGGAGATGGATCATGGTTTCGAATGGAAGTTCAGGTTAGGGCCATAATTCTGTCCCTGCCTCCCAACTTTTAAGATCAGGACAATTAAAGCTGTTCTACCCCTCACTGGATCAAAGAAACCAAATATGCATACAGGATGCTCCATGGCCACGTGGAACTGCAGAAAGGAACTGCAGAAAGAAGCCACGAGCCTTCCCCTGGGAAGTTGGAACAGGGAAAGTTGTGGGGAGCAGTAGGAGATCCAGCACAAAGGACTGAATAGATTCTAGTGCCTAACTTAGTGGTTGATAGCCCTGCCCATGGAACTGGATGCTCTTTGAGGTCCCTTCCAAACCAAGCCAGTCTGTGACTTTGATTCCATGATTCCAGGATGTATAAAAGCATGCAGAGATGATAGAAGCTGTATAATCATGGGGTGACAAGATATGAACAGTTTAACCTTGCCTTAGCCTCTTCTACCTGGACTCTGTGAGTTTTAAAAGGAGCAAAATCTCGTTCAAGGCTTAAAAATACATTGAGCTCTACAGATATAAAGCCATATGTCATATTCAGCTATTCTTAATGTGGTGGGTGAAAAATACATAATTTTAACATACAGACTGGCAGACATCTCATTTGAAAGCAGGAATTAAAATAATGACAGGTTGTGTCACGTGAGAACACATTTAACAGCAAAACTGTCCTTTACTGGTGCATGAAAGTCAACTATACGGAGGGAGAGGCTGCTGGAAATAAGCAGGGGGCACAAAAATGGAGGGAAAGATGGGGAGTTTAATGGAAGATGCTGAGTTGATGACCGGAGTCTTCAGCAAGGCTGTTACCCTCTTTACTTTCTAGTGCTGTGCAAATGAATTCTCCTGCAAATCAAAGGTTCTGCCTCTCTGTGCCCCTGAGGTCATTCATGCCCATGTCCTGACCCTGGCAGTCTGCAGTGGTCCTCAGCACAGGCACACACCTCCCCAGACACTGCAGCCCACTCTGCGTGGTAGGTTGCATGCTGCTTCCCCCTTCCTTGTGTTTATTTTACAAATCTATTTTTTAAAATCCTATTACCTTCTACGTATTTCTGCATCTTTCCTTGCACTGAGAAGCTCCTTGATACTTCAGCAA